TTGACTAAGGAATAATCGTTTTGAATGGAGGTTCATTTATTTGTGAACAGTTTATCTCTACAATTAAAAATTACTGAGTTTAAGAAAAGACTCAGACTGACTGATGACCATCCACATTTCGTGATGAAGGTAGTTTCTAGTATTTTTCTCCAGTAGTTATAAACATAATTCAAATCGAAACGCATGAGGTATTGTAGCTGAAAGTTGTAGTAAAAAATTTAGAAGTTTATAATTATTTACATAAAAATAAATGTATTTTTTCTTTATGCGTCAAATAAATATTTAGTAAATAAAAGAATGGGAATAGGTTATCATTATTTATTCTCAAGTTTTACTTAACTTAAAAAGTTTCAGTAATTTGTTTATTTTTAGTTTCAAGTTTAATGTGAATTATTTAGTTCAGCATATTAGAATTATTTGAAATAAATATCCGTAAATATCTCAGAAACTTTATTTTTAGCAATCAATACGTTTGAATTACAAAATGTCATTAACAGAAAATTCTTGCAGGTAACAACCTTTTTATTTCAGTACAGAAATTAAGCATAAAATGGAATTTTTTCCTTTGCGCCATTACTATTACTGTTTATATACGTTCTGATAAATATTTAGTGAATAAAATTTTTAATTTAGTTAAAAAATCGCTTTGTTAGAAAAAACTTTTCCTTTTGTTAAAAAAAATTCGGCTTGTCGGCTGCTTTCAGATCATGCTTTCGGTTCGATGGAATCTGAGTTTGAGACCAATAGTTTAACGAATGTGACCAGTCAGCAATTTAATATTTCATTTCACGGACGGATTGTACGAGAATTTACATTTGCATGTTAATAACATAATAAGGAAAATGTATTGAGAAATAAGTGAGAAAAATTCTGCATAAGTAATATTATCTTTGTAAATTAACATAGTTATGAAAGTTAATAAGATAAAGCTGAGAAAAATTAATTGATATTAGAGAATCAAATAGTAAAAGATATATTGTCTTTTAATTAGAGAGTTTTCTAGCATTATTTTACTAACTTTCGTAAATTGCTCATATTATTGATGAATCAGCATTTTTTTTTTTTGAATAAATCTGTAGCTTTGTATAAAAGACCTCAGTGCCTATTTTGTAATTTCTGAGAAATAGCGCATGCCATTAAAAATATTATCATAATAATTCTGTTTACTTAAATTCACTCATATTAGTCGCTCGAAAACGATCGTTCTTTAGAGCGTAGCAACGGAAGGCCATCAGACCTTTTAACTTATGATGAAACTCTTGATTTTGATGCAACTGATGCAAAAATCTCAAATTCGGACATTCTGAGTATTGAATCCTTTTTTTTTTTCAATAAGGTTGAATGATAATATTGTAGAATGTATAAAGAAAACACATAAACCAATATTATAAAGCGTAAATACCTTTACAAAGAAAGGCATATCATAGTTAGATAAATTTTTAGCCTCATTTCAAAGATAAAAAGAGAATTTTAATACTTTATAAGGTTTATCTTAATTTATCTTATCTAACAGTTAATTTTTAGCTAAAAGTTACTTTCCTGTCCTCTCTGATTTTCAGATTACAACTTCCGGCCAGAACGTATTTTCAGAATCGCGGTCAAATGCAAATGAGGAGAAGAAGTATTTAACTGTGAAGTTCTACTGACTTCGTTAGAGCCAGAGATTCTATGCAGCGCGCGTTAGCCTTTTGGCTATACTCTCTCTAAAGCTAATTTTACGATCGGCCGATCGGCCCTTGATAGCTTCGCCGTTAGTTAGCGTTAAGGGGCCAACTCTGTTAGAATTTTGCTAGCTTAGGCTATATCTTTTAGCTAAGCTTTATTTCTCAGTTTCCCGAGTTCAAGCCTGAGTGGAGACTTTATTGTAAACTCCAAGAAGGAGTCTTCTGTGAACTTTATTTGAAACAATAAAGGGTATTTAACCCTTCTCGAGTATCCGTTCTCTGTCTACTGAAATAAAGAAATTATTCGCTTACCTGTTCTTAAGGTACTTTAGCTGTAACATAAAAGATAGGAATCTTACAACTTGTTACGAAAAGATTTTTAATCTTTGATTTTTTTTTTTTTTAATTTTGTAAACGAAAATGATAAAACAAAGGATAGAATCCAATAGCGTTCATGATTTTATCGATTTCAAAATAAGCTGTATCATAAAATTGCGCAAAAGCTGTTATTAATCACAAACAAATTATGAAAAGAATAAAGCTAATTTTTTTTCTGTCGATGCCAAATTATTGGAAACAAATAAATGAAAATAGTTATCCTAACTCGGCAAAGTTTTCTATAACAAACCCTTACTTCCTTTCATTGTTTACACACTTCTATTTCCAAAAGAAAAGCCTTCATTTAAAAGCCTGTAGGGAAACATAAAGGACTTATTAATCTTATTCTTCAGATTTCAACTTCACACTTATGTCTTCTTTTACCGAAACATGTCTAGTAGAATGCCTAAGGGAAGTTATGAGTGACTTGCACTGGCGTGGTACTCTAAACAAAAGCATTGGAAAGGATTTTTTTACTTTTTACTTCTACTTTTGTTTATTTATTTATTTTTCTGATAAGGCAATTCTTATTATGGAATATATCGTCTGAAGTTACAGAATTGGGAGAGTCTGAATGCCTGTCACGAAAACGGCGTAATGATTGCCAGCATGAGCATTTGCAGTGGTTATAAAAATGTAACGAAAGACAGAAAAATCATACTGATATTAATAATAATGTTGGGAATTTTGCATAATGTAACATGAAAAGTCTGAAGAGAACGAAACTCTGCCGGAAAAATAAGATTACAGGGGCAAGTCTATTTAACATTGAGGTAAATAGCTGTATCACTAATTTGGCGAGATATTGCCAAGGTGGTGATGGTTTTGGAAGCAAATTTTTGTCGCTAAATTTAGTGAGAAATCGGCAAACGTCGCCAAACTTGGTGACTGTTTGGCGACATTTTGTACGTCTCTCTATAACTGTAATGGGTGCTGTAATTGAATAACCGTAATTAGTCCCTATATGTAGCTGCAACAATATCCGGCTCTTAGATGTAACTTTAACCGTATATGCTTTCCAGTAATTTCGAGAAATAGAGAGTATTGGAAACTCCTCAGAGGCTTGGGAGAAACTATATAGAAGAGAGCATTAGTTCTCAGTTTTAGGTCAGAGTCAACTTCGAAGTATAGCAATATCTCCTCGCGAGTTTGAGGCACTTTGCATTTGCGTTGTGTTTAACGTTCTTAGTAGTTTAAAGGGGTAACTACTGGTTGCGCTTTGTTATACTGAGAAGAGTTGTACGAGTATTTTTGTGTAAAATTCCAGAACTGTAAAGTGTTTCGTTTGACAAAATAAATTTAAGAAGCTATCATCTGTTCTGTGTGCATTAAGCAAAACCATACGCACGTAGCAATAACAATGAAACATACTGTTAGGTTACGGTTGCGTGAAAACGAATTTTCTGTACATTATATTAAAAACGTCTTTTATTAATTACAACAACCTTATAGATATTTTTTTAATTTATCATTTAGATATGTTGTAAATCACAATATAATACGATATCAGTTAAAACTCGAGCGATCTTAATCTTCCTTGACTCATTAATGGAGTTCAAATTATTAGCTGAGAAAAAAGAAGTTATAGTGAAGATTTAAAACATAATAACTGGTTAATTAACACAAGATACCTTACAGCAACTCATATTACTTCTACGAGAAATATGGATTAAGAATTGGTTTATAATTTAAAAACTGGATACTTTTACATTTTGCTAAAATTATTATCAAAAATACATAATGAAAACCAAAAAGACTGTCTATTAATACTATAAATAACTTGCTAACCTTTGAATATCGGATATCTATGTTGACATCGGTTCATAGAGAAAAAGCCTACACTACCTCCGTACATTGGGTTACCTTAAGTATCGCCCTCTCTTGGTGGTTCGGAAAAACTTTCAGCCTGTTTTTCTGTAAACAATAAGATTGTAGACTGTTGCAAAATAGCCTGCCTCTGCACCTAAGAATTGTGTTATTTAGAGCGAGAAAAAGCATAGCATCATTATTCTCTGACCAGTAAAAGGTGTCATGATATCACAAACAAAAAACATCTTGTATCTCTGAAATCGTGAATAGAAGCTATGACTAATCTGTAAAAGGATTTACTGCTTCTAGGATGCTTGGACTGTTTTTTGACTGATTATCTTTAAAAGGTTTTCCTTAAGAACAGTTCAAACGCATTTAATAAAGGAGAAGCTTACACGAAAACATTTCATTAAGCATTATCATCTTAACGGTTCGGTAACATATGAAAAGAAAACTCATTCTTTGTAACTCTAATAGTAAAAGAAAATTATGATAAAAAAAGGACCATCTATTTTGTGTGTAGTTTTCTAGCAATGCCTTATATTTTAATAGGAAATACATTCATAAGTAAAAAAAGGAGCTACAGCAGTATGTACGAAAATGTTTTAGCAATAGTTCTCAAATGAATGCTAAATGTAATTCATGCTGATTTTCTACAAAGTGGCTTCTTCCATCTCAACAGGAAACGTCGAGAACAATATGCAATTTACGAATAAAAACAACATGTTTCACTAAACCTAGCATAATATATCAACATTTCTTTAAGAAGGTCTTATTACTCTTTTACGGTATTATGCTCGAAAATTCCTTGCTACGCAATTGCGATTATTATGGACACAATGCTTTAGCTCGAAGTATTTAACTGAGTTATAAAGATCACATCGCAATAATTGCTGTAGCTGTAATCTTAAGATTTTGTATGTAAAATTATAAAGTATAAACATTAATGGGATAGCAACATATGTTAGATACGAAATTTATCATTGCTGCTTATATTACATGCGAAAAGATATAGCCAATCATTACAAGGGTTTATACCAATTAAATAACCAATATTTCTGTCATTTCTTGCCGATCTCCTTTGTGGGGAAAAAAGGGGGAGGCAAAAACCACAAGGATCATAACATTTGGAAACAAGAGCTACTTTACCTGAGCAGTTAAGAATCACTTAACGTCATCGCAGCTCATGATTTTGACCGTAACAGTACATTCTTTTAAGCTTTTCAAACTTTCATGATGAGAAGAGTTGAGCTTATGGGCTGAAAATTGTTTTCCAATAGGCAGTTTTGCGAGCACACGTTTCACTTAATCTAATTCTGCTCTCGTTCAAAATCGAGCTAACGACATACCGTATAACAGCAGTAGTAACCATAGCAACCTCCCATCTGCGAGCCCGCCTTGCTCAAGGAACTTTTGTGTCCACCTAGCGGCGTAAAGTATTTAATGGATTTCTCAAGCGTAGGGCTGAAAGCGGTCCCCAGCTTTTTTGATATCGAATAGTAAGAAGTAATGAGATCTACGAGACTGGATAATTAAACTTCATAATGCGATTAATGCAATCACTAATTTGTTAGAGAAAAACACTTCCTCTATTAAATTAGTTTGGAATTTAGTTCTTTATTCGTATGGTGATGAGTGCATCCAATCCATAGGCAATGAGTATGTAATCAACATTAAAAAGGGTTGAAAAATCCCAGAAACATTCCTAAGATTATTGTAAAACTGTAAATGTTAGTTACATGAATATTTAATTATTTTTTATATCTAAATTTGCCCAGCTGGAGACGATTATATGAATGTTGATGTAAATAAAGAAATTGAACTCAGATAAATAAAGAATTTGAAAACCTTGATCCTTTTGAAGCATCTAAATATTTTTCGAAATCAAAAGCTCCAAAGAAAGATTATAACAAATAGTTGCTATAATTCTAACTTATAATTACCAAAATGCCTAGATCAAACAGTAAAAGGCAAGTTTAAGAATTAATGAACTGAATTTGGTTTTGATCTAGGGAAAGGTTTCTATCGATGGGCCACTTTCACAAAATGATCCTTAAAATCGTCAAATTTGGTAAATATTACTTTCCAAACTATACATATCTAGAAATAGACGCTACAGTTATGAAATGTTCAGTAAATATTAGAAAAATAAAAGTAGATGCCACTGGCCCAGTGAAGAAAACCGGTCGCCTTCACTGAGCCGGAGGGTTTTTTAGAATGAGCTGGTAGCTATTTTCTTATTAATACCGTATAATCTTAATGTAAGTCAATAAAATTATTAAAATTATTTTGAGCATGATTCGTAAATATAAAATGCTAGTTAGAAACTAACACAGACCACTGAAATACATTGAAACATATTAATAGCTTCGCATTATTTACAAGGAATCAGGAGTTGCATTTTTTACGTAGTTTAGTCTTTATAATCATAAAATAGGCCTGATGTGAGAATCTACGAAATAACATTGAATTTCGTTTATTAGAAATAATTTAAAATGAAAATGAGAATTTGAGGGTAGTTTACAGTTAGGCTTGTATAAGAAGAACAATAACCATAACTTGAAAATTTTCAAATAGCATAAAATAATTATTAAACCTACTATTAATATTAGACCATAAATCGTACACAAATTACTGCATCAAATATTCGTTTTTGATAAGTTCAGTTGCATTTTTCGCAAAATTTATTTTGATCCCTTTTCTGACCCCAGGACAAGCTGGAAGCGGTTTTGATTCTGTTCCACTGGTAGTTGCAACAGATTTTCTCCCTGGAGTCTGCATGTCATGTGACAGTCCACTAGTAGAAACAGTTAGACTTGTGTCAGGAACTTCTAAACAAGAACATCATTCGTTTCAGTTTTCACTGCTGCAACAAAATGAGATCTTGAAATACCTCACTCGCCAAACCCCTCTTTTAGCAAAACCATTCATTGCCGTCCCTACTGTTGCTGCTTGTCCATTAGGTAGATTAAAATTAGAGTAATAGCTTATAACAAAGTAAATTAGATAATTATCTAATTATAGATTTAATTACTCCTGATAGCGTTTTGTTAAATCAGATACAGAGACATTTTATTCTTCAGCTTGAAAAAGTTACAAAATATTAGCCTCGATATGGTTTCTATGGTTAGGCCATCAGCCCATTCATAGCAACGCAGGCTGGCTCATTGAAGGCAACTAGCAGTCTGTATGTAATACGTCCGTGATTTCGGTTATAACAAAGTAAACAATCATTGTTAATATAGCCAAATAACGCTGAATTAACACAGTTTTAAATGTTATCAGTAACAATTAAAAGACTATTAACGTCTCATTCATATCTATATTTTCTTTATATTGATAAATTAGAAAATCACAAAAATCTCACCTTCTTGTAAAGCAACCTTATTTGAGCATGAATCAAACCTCAGTCAATATGGTGGTTTTCAAGCTTCATGTACTAAACAGTCAACAAGTAGTGCCTAGTGTAAATAACTGGGAAATGTTGTAGGTGGCTCAAAGGAGCCAGCCCTTTCCTTTAACTGCAGAGAATATCTTCACATTAATACCTTCCAGCTTGTTGTAACTACACTTTATTCATCATCACTTTTAAATGTCTCATCTTGTAAAAGTTATTACTTCCAGTTTATGAACTGCATCGAGCTTTGCTAACTTGGCCTTTTTACATTTCTTTTCGCTAAATGTATTTTTTGCTCAAATTAAAATTGAAAATCTAAGGCTTGATTGTAGTTATACTTATTGCTTTATTTCCCGTTCCGTTGCCTGTCGTTTAAACAATCACAATAAACAATTTTACAGATTTAAAATAAACATTTTTTCAGCTGCCAGTCTAATTACAATGGCAATATTTCTGTCGCTAAAATGGCCTAACAAAAGATAATGCGACGATTGGCCTAAAGCTTTTATTAACTGACATAAATCTTCCAAACTCTAAACGTTGTTGGAATGACTCTTCTTCTATAGAAGCGTATAATAACCATTTTCCTTCTTCGGAAGTAAATAATGGATACTAGGCAGAAATAAAGGGCTCCTGACATCGAGCTCCTGACAAAAGAAAGATGCAGTCTGTCCGACGTCCACAAAGACTATAAGATGTTTACTTAGGCATTATCGTTAGTAATAGGTCATTAAGAGCACAAGTGAATTTTTCTAAACAGGATTCTACATTCGGATTCAACGATGGCTAAAATGCATCGCTTAAAATGGTAACTATGCTGAGTAGTACTTTAGTATAGAAGAAAAACCAGTCTGTCAACAGGTAATACATAGATATTTGACGATGTTTGTTAGTTTGTAAAAATATTATATGTAAACTTACATAATATTAGGCAGATTTATTTTCATTTCTTTTGAAACAGCTTTCATATATACAATAGCAAAAGAAATTTAACCATGAAGAAAGCCTACTTGTCATTTTATTTCATTCTAAGCCGTAAAAATTATTTAATCTTAAGTCAGCTTTATTCTCCATACATTTTAAATCTTCTGAAAAAATTGCAGCAGGCATAGTTTAATATTTGGAAGCTGACAAGGATTAGTAGCAACACAAGAAAGTAGCTTTTCATGCAAAACCAATAGTTAAGTTCATAAACCAGTCAGTCATATTTGTGCCTCTACATAAATATTTTTTATTCTTTCTTCATTAATATACTTCTCAAGCGAATGGACAAAAATGAACTAAAGCAGATAGGAAAACCAACTATAAAGTTAACTAGTTAGATAAAAATTAAATAAAAATAACATTTACAAGCAATTCAGGGATGAGTCATTTTTTGCCATCAATCGCTTCGCCCCTTTGAAGCTGACCACGCGGTGTTCGTATATCTTTTTAAGTATTATTAATGTTGGTCATTGTTGCTTTCCAAACTGTAAATCCAATTAAATTGGGAAAAAAGATGCTTTGGTGTTCAGAAGTTTCCGAAAAATGACTGAAAATGTGCTATTACAATGTCAAAAAATTTCTTAGCCAGTTTCATTTCATTAAAAGACGCGTTGTTTGCGAAAAACATTTTCGCAAAGATGTTGTTACAAGCAGATGTTTTATACATGGATATCAACAAGTAAATTTTAAGCCGATTATTTAGAAACTTGATATAATATGCACCCTCAGATACCAGGGATTGCATTTCATGAGACTGCACATACGTTTTGAAAAAAGAGCGAACGCTTCGAGTGAAGAGTGTATTAATACAACATTCAAACATGTTGCAAAAAGTTAAAAAACAAAAACAAAAAACAAAAAAAAAAAAAAAAAAAAAAAAATATGTTTGATAAATTAGGATTTGCAATAAATTTAGCAACCAGGTGATTCTTTATTTGATTATTTTCTATGTGGATTTAAATATATCGATAATAAACAGCAAATTTGGATATAGTACGTAGCGGGTTACTATTATGCACATTACTTGAAACGTGGTTTGCAAAGAAATGTGTTTGAATTTAAATAACTTACTGATTTCGTCGAAAAATATGAAATGCTTTTTAAAACATGAAAAATTCAGCATTTAATTTTCTAACTTGTTAAAATTAATAATAATTGTTATGAAATACTGAGTAAAGAAATCTGTCAGTCTTGCAACTGAGATTTTTTAAAAGTACGTATCATGAAAATACCGAATACATTTACAGGTATTTTAGAAAACTTTTAACAGATATAAGTTTTCTACTTCCAATGATATTAAACAAACTTAAAAAAATTTAATCATTAAGTAATTTTATTGTACTGATTGCAGCTTTTATTATCTTTCTTACACTTCCAAACATGACATGATTAATGTCTTTTAAAAATTACTGTCTTTCTGTCTTTTTACTTTTTACTAATTTCTTTGCTGGGTTACTATCCAATTAGGTTGTAGATTCATTAAGTTACTTAAGAAGTTAAGTTAAGAAGCAGGAGATGTGAAAAATGTGCAGCGCCGTCGCCGGGACTCGAACATGGACCTCTCGTATACCTCTCGTACCTAATGTGCTATTTCGAAGGCACGAAGACGGACCGGAAAGAAGGAGAAAATACCTTATGAGGAATGTGAGTATTTGAATTTAGGTTTTTTTTATTACTATATTCATATATATTTCTATTTTCATTGCTCAGTTTTTATTTATGTTTTTAATAATGAAGAAATTCATCACTAATGAAAAAAAGGATTTTCTTTTTGTGATGTTCAATTAACAGAAGATTTAATATGCATAACAAGTTACCGTGCATATTATTCAAAACTTCTATGTGCAATATGCAACGGAAGGCTATTGATTTTAGATAATGCGCTGACTGAATGAACGGATAATGTTCTCCTATAATCAGAAACAACAGAAA